TTTTCTAAGCAGTCAGTATTCAGGTGCCTCTCATAATGGTAAACGTAGGCTCTAATATCCTCAGAAATTCCTGGAAAATCATTTTGCTTAGAGCTTAAAATGTGCTATGTGCTGCCAGATATTCCATTGTGTAATTAAAAATAAGCAAATAGAACCTTTCTGGGAGATGAAATTTCCTAAACCCCAAGCAGTAACATTGTAAAATGTTGACTATTTTACCCGGTTCCTCTGCTGAAAGGTGAGAAAGAAAAAGTAGATATCACTCCCTCAGCTTCTGGGGCCTCTACAAAGGGGCACGTTTTCAAAATAGTACTTACTGAATTTGTCATCTCTTGGTATAAGAGCAGCTTCGTAATAACTAAAGAGTGTATAATTTGCAGAGTGGTTTTTTTGTTTTTTAAACAAAATTTCTATTTTAGAATGGCTTTCTACAAAAAAGCTCTGAAGATAGCAGAGTCTCATATACTGCACCCCCCCACCAGTAGCCCCCTGCAGTTTTCCCTGCTATGAACATATTAGTATGATACATTCATTGTAACTAAAGAACCATAGTGACATATTATTACATAGAACCAACATTTTACTCAGATGTACTTAGTTTTTAGCTATTGTCTTTTTTCTGTTCCAGGACCTTATCTAGGATGTTATAATACATTTGGTCTTTACGTCTCCTCAGGTTCCTACTGATTGACAGTTTTTTCTGACTTTGTTTTTGATGACTTTGACAGTTTTAATGCTCACCATGTATATTGCAGAATATCCCTCAAATAGGTTTGTCTGAACTGTTTTTCATAAGATGGAGTTATGGATTAGGGGGAAGACAACCATATAGGCAAACTGGTATCCTAATCACATTACATTATAGGTCTGTACTGTCAACATGACTTATTGTGATGGTCACCTTGATCATCTGGCTGAGGCGGTGTTTGTAAGGTTTCTCCAATGTAGAGTCTCTCTTTGTCTTTGCCCATTTCTCTCCTGTACTCTTTGAAAGGAACTACTGTGAGTAATCCACACTTAAGGAATGGGGTGTTATACTATACATCATTAAGGGGGACAATATCCACATAAACTACTTGGAATTCTATTACATGAGACATGCAATTTAGCCCATCTATTTATTTTTAATCATTTCTACTAGTATGGGATCATGAACATTTATTTTATACTTTGGGCTATAATCTAATACTACATTATTCATTTTGTTTCTTAAGCTGTTTAGCCATTGGGAACTCTTTCAGTTGGCTTCTGTGTCCAATTCACATACCACCATCATTGTGTGTGTTTGTGTGTGTGGGGTGTGTGTGTGTGTGTGTGTGTGTGTATGTGTATTTCCTAACTTATGGGCAATAAAAGATACTCCAAACTTTTCTTGTATATTCCTGAACCATTCCTAGGATAAGTCACTTTTTCACAGATCTCTGATTCCTTTAATTTGCAAAAATATTAGAAATCATGAACCCAGGGCTGGGTATGATCCCTACTACTGGAGCGTACTACACTCCAGTATATAGAGCAAGGAAATATATGTGCATAAACTAACCTCTGGTTTCATATCTATCCATCTGTATCAACATGAAGCCTTTTGAAAATTTTTGATGCCATCAACTAAACTGAAAATGTTTTTCCCAAACTGGCAACACCTAGTCAAGTAGATCTCATTTTTCAATCAATGGTGACTTAGATTTTGCACTGGAACAGTAACAGAGTCTTTTTCTTCATGTGGCTGCCTGGGTGACTCACAACTGAAGTGGTTTGGTAGACTCCACTGTGCACTTCATTTTTGGTCACTTTTTCTAGTCTTAACACAGAAAATGGCACATGGCAACATTCATAAGCTTTTTTTAGCAAACGAATGAAGGAGGAGACACATAAATAAGATGTATGACCTTCCTTCCTCTTCACTCTCAGAAAATGCTTTCCTTCTTAATTTATAGAAGAAACAGAGGACATGTTATGGAATCTTCCTGAACTTCAGGCCCTGCTTCCTAAAAACCTACCTGCACCATATCTGTATCTTCTATTTCTATAGAGGAAACAGTATTCATCTTCACTCCATGTTAACAGATCCATCTGGGGGTTACACTCCCTTTTCCTGCCTTTTCCAATATATAGTTTCATCAATCTTTTGCCTAATATCTCCTGTGTCTTCACTTTCTCCATCTCAGCCCTCAATTTGCCTTCAGTATACAAACTCAAGTCCCTCTCTTTTTGCAAATATAGATTTTTATCTCCCAAGCCACTTCCTGCTCCTTCTCTCTTTTTCTATTTTTCTTCATATGTCAGAATTCTGAACTGCCTTCCATTTCTCTACCGTACTATCTGGCTTCCACCTCTAATTAAACATAGTCAATTTATACCTAGTTTGCTAACTCTAGTGGAATTTATTTTAATTGATCTAACATATCACACACCAACAGAAAAGAATATACATTATTCAATTAAACTGGCTGACAAATTTGTACAGCAATTTAGGGAAAAAAACACAATTTGCTTATTATATGCAAACTACCATTTGTATAACTGAATTCCAAAAGTATTCAAGAACTATGTTAAAATTCAGTTAAATGAAAAAGTTTAGAAGAAAATACTGATAAAATGTGTTGCTAAGCTGATTTTAGAATTTTTAAAATGAAATAATGTCTACCACAAAATGATTAAAAATTTCCATTTCAAAACTATATTAAATGTATGTAAAGCAACACATTTGAAATGCTTTATCACATAAAGTAAATATTAATATTTAAAATGTAAATGAGCAGACAATTCATGAGAAAAAATACAAATGGCTAGACAACATAAAATGTTCAACTTTATAGCAAATAACCAATTTTTTTACCTATCAAATTTAAGAGTCAGTTAAATATCTTCCCCAATTCTAGTAAGTATGAATTAAAAAACCAGCATTATTTATGGTTTCTAGAGAATGGTAAAAATATATATGATTTTCATTTTGTGTTTATTTCTAGATTTTCTAAGTGGCACTAAAAAGATGAAAAGACATTTAACAACCAGAAGGAAACATCTAGTAACGAAAATAAAAAAAAAATAAAAAAATAACAGAGGTTACAATAGATATTATAAAACAAAAAAGTAGGCAGAGCTACCTGCTGGGATTTTTATAGTGCCAAAAAGACCCTTTTAAAATAGTTTTCCTACATCTTATTAATATAAGTTTTTATTGAAATTACTCTTTAAAAATTAAGATATAAAAACAAACACTTCTAGGGTAAATAGTTCTCACTAGACAAAAATAATAGATTGCTTCTGGAAAAGAGGTTTTAATAAGGGCAACAGAAACCAATGTAGGGGTGCCCAGAAGACAGAAAGCGAACATTCTGTAAGAGGAAAAATGGGTGGTGAGCTAGAAGCCCAGAACACAAAAGGAAAGGCTTTGCCCCACACCTAAAAAACTAGACACTTTAAAAGTCCCTTGTCCAGAATATCATGCTATGGGTCCTGTTTAAAAGGCAACAGCTGTGGACACAGATGTGGTGTTTCCTTCTGTGATCCAAGCCAAGGCTCCACTGGCTAGAAGCAGATTAATATAGCTCTAATGGTGGCAGATTAGATATTTGGCCCATTTGTTAGACATAACTGAATCTGCATTTCTGAGAACAGCTCTTGATGACGCACGATGTCACAAATCCAGCATAAGAAGGGCAGTTTCAAATATGGTGACAGAATACACATGTTAGTGAGTGAAAAATGCCAGCTACATATGAGAAATACTTATGTCAACAAATTATAATGAAATTTTGTTTTCATTTAAAGATATAATTCCTTATCTTATAAGAATGGCCTCCCCAATAATAAAACTAATACTCACATGTATGGATTTTTCATGCTTAAGAAACAAGTACTGGAGAACAAATTCAAAAACATAGAAACCCAGATTTTTCTTTTTTTGATATCAACTACTTGGTTAATTATTTCAAGTATTCGAGCTCACAAAAAGTCTGAGAAATTGATCACTACAATGAGCTTTTTATGTGACAGAAAAAGGAACTGATCACAGGTGGTACAATTGCAAAGCTACCACAATATTCTAACTGCAATCTAGGTTGCTTTCAAGTCGTTTGCCAAATTTCAAACTGGCTACTCTAAAAGATATGTCTAAATGGATTAATTTTTTTTCATATATATAAAATTGCACTTTAGGTTCTGGGGTACATGTGAAGCACATGCAGGATTGTTGCACAGGTACATACATGGCAATGTGGTTTGCTGCCTCCATCCCCATCACCTATATCTGGCATTACTCCCCATGTTATCCCTCCCCAACTTCCCACCCCCCACTGTCCCTCTCCTAGTACCCCCCCACAGACCTCAGTGTGTGATGCTCCCCTCCTGTGTCCATGTGTTCTTGTTGTTCAACACCCACCTATGAGTAAGAACATGCACTGTTTGATTTTCTTTTCTTGTGTCAGTTTGCTGAGAATGATGGTTTCCAGCTTCATCCATGTCCTTAACAAAGGACACAAACTCACTGTTTTTTATGGCTGCATAGTATTCCAAGGTGTATATGTGCCACATTTTCCCTGTCCAGTCTATCATCAGTGAGCATCTGGGTTGGTTCCAAGTGTTTGCTATTGTAAACAGTGCTGAAATGAACATACGTGTGCATTTATAATAGAATTATTTAAAATCCTTTGGATATATACCCTGTAATGGGATTGCTGGGTCAAATGGAATTTCTATTTCTAGATCCTTGAGGAAGCGCCACACTCTCTTCCACAATGGTTGAACTAATGTACACTCCCACCAACAGTGTAAAAGTGTTCCTATTTCTTCACATCCTCTCCAGCATCTGTTGTCTCCAGATTTTTTAATGATCACCATTCTAACTGGTGTGAGGTGGTATCTCAATGTAGTTTTGATTTGCATTTCTCTAATGGCCAGCGATGATGAGCATCTTTTCATATGTTTCTTGGCCTCATGTATGTCTTCTTTTGTAAAGTGTCTGTTCATATCCTTTGTCCACTTTTGAATGGGTTTGATTTTTCTTGTAAATCTGTTGATTCCTCTTAAATAAGCAATATTGCATGAAATGAAAGAACTCTAAGAACACATTTTTCTAATCAAATTGCGGTTTACCCAAATCATTCCACAAATACTTATTGAGCAACTATTAATTGCCCGACACTGTTCTAGATGCTTGGGAAATATCAGTAGACAAAACTGAAACACACACACACATACACACACAAACAGCTAACATTGTAGAGCTCACATTCAAGTGAAAAAATTAAAAAATGTGTGAGTAAATTTTAGCAGGTGTTAGAAGATAAGTCCTTTAGAGTATGATAAAGAGGGCTGGTATGAAGGAGGGTGGGGTTTCCATTTGAAATGGGAGTCCTGCATGAGGGATCAGGCATACAGATGTTGCATTTAATCAAAGACATGAAGACACAGGCAGAGAGGAAGTGAGCTATGGGGATAACTGCAGAGAAAGCGGTCCAGGCAAAGAAAACAGCCAGCACAATGAGAATGTGCCTGGCATGCAAAAAGAATGGTAAGGATAAGTATAGCTGCATCAGAGTAAGTGAGGAGAAAGGTAATGAGAGATGAGGTAATCACAAAGAAAAAAGAGCCCAATTGCACGGGCCATGTAGGCAATTGTAAGGTCTAACATGGGAACCACTGGGGGTTTTTGAGCAGAGGATTGACATTAACTGATTCAGGTTCTGAAAGGATCGCTCAAGCAAATATGTTGTGGATAGATAGTGAGGGAAAGGTGGAAGCCAAAAGAACTGCTACGAGGTTTCTGTAGTAATCAGGTCTAGGCGTTATGCTAGCCTACTAGAGTTATAGCAGTAGAGATGGTAAGAAATGTCAGATTCTGGATTATCCTGCAAGGAGGACTAACGATAAATTGGAGGTGAGGTGTAAGAGAGAAAGAGGAGTCAGGGATGCCTTCAGGATTTCTGACAGAGGAACTGAAAGGCTGGAGTTGCCATATTATAACGGATGGAGCAGATTTGGAGGCAATAATTGGAAGAGTATGAGATGTCTATTAGATATCTAAGTCAAGAAGCCAATTATTGCAACTGGATATATGAGTGTGGAATTCAGAAGAGGGGAAATTGTTGATATAAACTTAGGAGTTATCTACCTGCCATTTAATTTCTAGTTAATAGATCAAGGGATGTAAAGCATTCATTGGTCAATTAATATACGTCATACACAATGTCGTGCACTTTCAAATATCTTGTCATTTACTTCTTTATAACTTCCTTGTAAAAACTCCTAGTATTTACAGACTTGAACTTTCTAGGGACTAATAAATTAAATTTAGAAAGCCTAAGAAACTCTCTGTGGCTAACCAACTTCCTCTATGGCAATTAATTTTAGAAGAGGCAGAACTTGGACACATATGCAAGTTTTTCCAATAGCTATACAGTATAGTCTCTCAAAGGCTCAATACAAACAGAAATGTAGCTTACATTCTGGCTTCTGGGATGATGGGGAAAAAAGAAATCTAAGTGAATGCAGAACTGTGCAATTACCCCCTAGTATCATAATAAATACCCTTTATGTGAATTAAGTTTAAAACTAAATTTAATAACCTTTTATAAAGAATGAAAACATATGTGGCCTTTTAAATTTTGAACCAAAATGTTTAAACATTTTATGGTTTTATTTACTAAATAAGTAATCTTCTTGAAAAATTACCTGTTTCTCACAAGATATTTTATTTTGATGACAAATATGAGCTAAATTTTGTACCTATGTGAAACATTAAGTAATCAATTTCTCCAAAACACACATAAAAATAATGGATTAACATGATGCCATATTTTTAAAAAAACAAATAGAATTCTCTCTCTTACCAAATACTCATCCTTAAAAGTTTTATATGTTACTTCTCTTATCCATTTTAAGTATATTCATAAGTACACAAGATGCACATCCTAGACAATTAACCAGGCTAAAGTATCAACATCATTTCTGAAGGTATGTATGAACCAAATTCTAAATTCTACTATGAAATTGGAAATGACTACAAAATATGCTAGCTTGAGAAAAAAATACAACTATAAGATTTCTTATTACAAACTAACCTACATATGTTATTATGACAAAAAAATCTTGTGAAATATTTCTTTCATAAGATGATTAACAAAAATGTTTCATGTGCTCATTCAGGCATTAAACGCCCAACACTATAGCCTCTATTCTCTGTTTTTGGGGGAAAGATGCAGAAAAGACTTTCAAAATTATGCAGAATGTAATATTGGAATGAAATACTGTGTGTATAATGCGTATTATAGAAACAATATATATGAAACACATGTTTTTAAAATTTACTGCATAATCTTCAAGGAAACAATTTGAAGTGTTAATTTTCACGTGTTATGGTTTTATAGGTGAGGTTAGCTCAGAGAATAAACACTGAGTTAGCATTAACATTTACAAAATAAATTTTTGGAGAACACATTTGTTTAACCTGCTATACACATAAAGACACACACACACACACACACACACACATACACACCCTCTTTTTAGAGTTCCCATAGCTCCTTGATACCAATATATATTATTTAGCATATTTTAATACTTATTAAATATTTTACAAATTAATAACACTATCCACTGAAACCCGCTGTGTTTCCTAGAAACCAGTGACATTAGCAGACACTGGAATATGTGTTTTGGGGGCACTAACCAAAGGACTTGGTGCCGTATTGTCTTATACAACCAGAGTAACTCCACGTATATTTGTTTTATATATGGCAGCTCAATGCAATATTTTCTTGCAAAACGCCTTCTGTCACAGAATAACTTGGAAAACCATTGCCCTGAAGACTTCCTCATTAAAAATATATTTAAAATTATTTAGGTATTAAAGTTTCACATTTATGTAACAGAACTATGGAAAGAAGAGTGAGACCATCAACTGTCACTTGCACTAACATTACCATTCAAAAAAAGAAATGGCATAATAAATCTTTGTCTAATTTACCATAAAGTTTAACATTTGAGGGAATATTAGGTACGATTTTATTAAACACTAAGTTCTTTTCAGTAATGTGCAAAGATTTACCATGGTGCATGTTTACATTAAAGTAAATAAAACACTTCAGTACAAAAGCCCCCCACTTGAGAAGACTTAGAAAGGTATGCTGTATAGAAAGACAGCTCTATACTTTATAGAACATTTTTCATTGTGATCTTATTAGTCTAGCAGTTGAATAAGACAGATTGAGTGATCATATGCAATCTGCAGATGAGAAAATGAGGTACAGTGACAAACAAAAATGATTCATAAGAGCTTTCATAGTTAGCAGTAGGAGAAAAGGAGACTCCTAGGTCAAGTTCCAAAAAATTGACCATGTACCACACACAACCATGTCATTGTCTGATGACCTAATGCATTATGAATTTACTGTATCAGGATCTCAAGTAATAGGCCATAAATAAAGGACTATAGAAAGTAATTGCTGGTTACACATTTGGAATGAAATCTAAACTTAAAGAATGGAGCACTTCTTTTTGAGCTAAAATCTCAGACAGGTTTGGCCTAAGCACTTGTATTTGCTAAGCAAGAAGCAACTTCCCTGTATAATTACAAGGAAAAGACCTCTGATGTTTTTCTTTCAGCTACTAGCATACCTCAGAGTCCTAGGCAGAAAAATAGCCCTCAAAGATGTCCATGTCCTAATCCCTAGAATTCGTGAATATGTTACAGTACATGGCAAAAGTGACTTGGCAGATGGGATTAAGCATGATGAGTTAGAGTGATGATCCTGATTATCTGGGTGGGCCCAATGTTACCATAAGGCACTTATAAGAAGAGGCAGGAGGACCAGAGTTATTAGTAAGAGATGTGAAGATGGCAGAAATTACAGTGATGTGATGTGAGAAGGAATCAACTCACCTTTGCCAGCTTTGAAAGTGGACAAAGAGGGTCGCAAGCCAAGGAACTTGGGCAGCCTCTAGAAGCTAGAAAAGGCAAGGAAACAGATCCCTCTCAGATACTTGAGAAAGGAATGCAACTGTGCCAGCACCTTGATTTTAGCACCGTGTGGTCCATGTCAGACTTCTGACCCACAGGTCTGTGTAGTTATATAGAATTATAAAATTAATAAATTTGTGGTTTTAATGCCATTAAAGTTTACAGTGATTTGTAATAACAGCAATAGAAAACTAATATAGTTCTCTTAGAAGAACATGATCTCTTTAATAGATGAAGAGATATTTTAAAAATTTTTCAAGAAATATTCACTTAAAGTCTAAGATGTATCAGACTCCAACATTTCAGATTAAAGAAAACTAAGACATGCTCCCTGTGGTCAGGAGTGAATAGTTTTTTCAGATACGTGAACCGGATTGTGTATACATGTTACATGTAGATACACACATTTATCTGTGTGCAGGATGACAACAGAGTGACAGGAGAAGAAAAAGGAAAATAAAGGAAAAGAGATTTTAGAAATCACTAAGCTAACTGTACAAATGAGGAAACTAATCCAGTCTGGCATTCATAAAGTTTAACATCCACTTGCCCAGATATAACTAGTACTTCTTTTGCTGAATTAACAAAACGAAGTCTTTCTCAGATTCTAATACGAACAGTCTCTAAATTTGGATTATGAATCAATCGGCCCTAGATGATTCTGAAGACAATCAGTTGTCATGGTATTTTCTTCTCCAACAAAAAATTTTAGGCTAAGCAATTGATTCACATTTTCTAATTCTAACAGTAAATTACAGATTCTATTACATTTGAAAACTACAATTTAACAACGATGCACCTTAGGATGGTTTATAAATTCTAATGAATATGAAAAATGATGTATATTTTAAAATTAGTACCTAAAATAAGCAAATTCTCTATTATACAGAGAATGTATTGATACAGTGGTTATGACATAATAATATACATCTGGAAAACTTTGGTTTTTTAATAATACTATTACATCTGACTTTAGTCTCAAAAAATAGAAATTCAAATTAGATGACTCTATATAATAGAGGATGATTAATATGCATCTATATAATTTATATGTCTGGACATTACCCATGTCTTCTTCTGAATGGTTTCTGACTGATGGAATTTTTCTATTGTGGTTAGAAAATCGAAGAGGAGGAGAAAAAAGCATTTTATCTTGAATTATTTTTTTTCCGCAGAGTGTCAACCTCTGTAGCTGAATTTGGAACCTTCTTATATCAAATATCTATTACAGATAAAAGTATAGTCTTTCTGTGGAATACCTGTTAGGTCTGGGCATCGGAAACACTAGATTGATGAATATTTAATATTAATTGGCATTATAAACTAGTACAGAAACCAAATTTCTTATTAGTATTATCTAGTATCTAAACTAGCATAACAACCTCATAAACTTCATGTATCATCTGTGGTGAACTAAGGAGTTCTAAATACATGAAGTTTGGGGAAAAAATACTATGGTGATACTATAGAAAATAATGGATTAAATGCCTATACAATTTATATGATAGGGACTAAACGGTCATGATATAATGACAATGACAGCTATAACAGTTTTCCTTGTGCGAGGCTCTGTGATACATGATCTCATTTAGGCTTCACAATAATCCAATGGATACGCATCATCTCCATTTACAGTTGAAGAGAATGACTAGGAGGATTAAGTATCTTTCACAAAGGGACACAGCTAGTAAGTGATACAGCTAAAATTCAAACTCTAGCCAAAACCATGTCTGTCCAGCTCCCAAACCACACTTCTTAACCATCTTCTATTGGCAAGAGTGAATGTCCCAAACCGCCCCGAAGGACTGAACTGTGTCTGGTATTTATTTCCTCAATCCATAGTACAGAATATTGAGGAACTCAATTAACCATTAGTTTCCTTTATAAATAGTCTTAGTTTCCTTGATATAAACTGGATAGATTGGATTATATTAAAAGTTCTTTTTACCTCTACAGTCATCCATTTTTTAGTCATGTATTCCATAGACAAATACACATGCATTCCCTTTGCCAGACCTGCTCTAAATGAACCAAGCAGGGAAAGTCCCTGACCTGATCTCACTCTAGTGAGGAAGACAGACTATAAACAAACATTTTTGGGGTGGACTACTTCAGTAAAGGTATTTCTGGCAAAGGACATTTGAATTATCATGAATAAAATGATGCAGTCATAGGCATATATCCTAGTAGAAGAGTTTTCTAGATAGGGGGGATTCATTCCAATGGCTCCTTTAAAGTCTAACCACACTGGACATCCTTTTGACTAAATGTATTTTTCTATATGATTATGGGATTCACACCTTAAGTGATACATTTTAGACGATAAAAAGAAGTTGGAAGTGATCATTAGCATTCAGCTGAACCTTAACTCTTTCCTAGACCTGCTAATCTATAAAGTGAAAATCCGCCATTTGGGATGGAGTCAAACACGTGATTCAACAGGAAGTACCAAACTACTAACAGTAATTCATACAAAATATATCTAAGGTATTATATTTCATGAGGCTATAGTGCCTCACAAAATATATGTGATTATCTTTTGAATTAATATTGCTCTGTGAAGTATCATTTGTAAATTAATGAACAACTGTTTGTATTCCCCAGTGCTTCAAAGTTCATTCAAATGAATTGGAAAGCTTAACAAATACAGAGTTTATAGAAATCAGAATGAATCTATATGTATTTAATATCATATCAGGATGTATTGCATAAAGTGAGGTGTTATTTAGCATAAGACTGGAGTAATGACAGCTTACTGTGCTAAATTTGATACATCAAAAGCATAATGCAATCATTTCTGTTACTGTTATGTTCTCAAAATCTAGCACCCTTTGTTGATTTTATGACCACGGCATCAAACTAACTAGAATTTTGTAAAGTAGTCTGGAATGATCACTTAGAGTATTTACAATCACTAAAAAATAGCTTCATTTTTTTATAAGTACTCATTAAATGAACAGAAAGCAACTCTTTTGGTATGATTTGGTAGGCAAATAAGCAAACAAAATTTCACTACTTCACTCTATGAATAATTTCACATCACGTCTAGTGAAGTAAACAGAAAGTTTTACTTCATTTAAATAACCAAAATGTTGGCACAAACCAGGTTGTGGGAATAATTTTATTTCTATTTCGAGTAGTAATATTGCACATAACTAGTTTAAATGCTCAATCATGTATGCTTCCATTATCTTAATTCTATATATAAATGTATTCACTTAGCAGTTTTCAGGCGATAAAAAAAAATCTGACTTGATGCTGAGGTTGCATGGATTATGGTGCTGTAGAGATTTATGTTTAAATAGATGAGGAAAATCCTTTGACTTAAAAATATTTTTCCTTTTCTTAATTAATTATTCTAGACGTTTCATAAGCCCAAAGAGAAAAGTAGTACAACTCCTGGTTCACAGGACTGAGAACCTAGTATTAGGAGAAAACATTTGTAGGTTTGAACCATGAATCCATGTTAATATTTATTTTCTTGTTTATCTGTAATACTTATAAATTCTCTACAGTGAAAGAATAAAAGCCCTGGGCGGTTGCAGTGGCTCATGCCTATAATCCTAGCACTTTGGGAGGCATAGGCAGGCAGTTTGCTTGAGCTCAGGAGTTCAGGACCAGCCTAAGCAACATGATGACCCTTAATCTCTACTAAAAATACAAAATTAGCTGGCATAGTAGCATACACCTATCATCCCAGCTATGTGGGGGGCTGAGTCAGGATGATTACTTGGACCGAGGAGGTCAAGTCTGCAGTGAACCGAGATGGCACCACTGCACTCCAGCTTGGGCAACAAAGCAAGACCCTGTCTCAAAAAAAAAAAAAAAAGAATGAAAGCCTCTTACACATCCATCAATATTTTAAAAATTAGATAAGTAAAGCCCTGCAGCAAGATGCAATATACATATTTTTAAAACAATTTGAGGAACATATTTGATTAAACTACTTCTTTATAGATTTCTGCTTAGCAACTTGGCTGAAGAATGGCCCAAATAACAAACGTAGAAAAAAAATCCTGAAGAAAGAAAAGAAAAAATTTTAGAGGATATCACATGGAAAAAATATTTGAAGTAAAAAAAGACTGCATAACTAAGTTTAGATGTATGAATTGTTCTTCAGTAATATAGGCAAGTATTCTCTTCAGAGTATAATCATTTTTTCTTTTTAACAGTATATACAAAATGCTTTCTATGTGAGCATCAAAATATATTGCCATCAGTTAAAAAATAACAGACAATATTCCAAATAAGATAAAATGCACTAAATTTAAATTAGAACATTTTACTCATGATGTATTCTACTTTATCATACATAATATGATATCTGAGCTCTCTTTTCAAGAACACCCTTGACTTACAGGAAAACTCTTTTTTTTTTTTTTTTTTCGGATCAGATGGGTAATGTGCCAACATCATAACAAGGTTCAAGCGTGGCACATCTCACACAAGCGTGTGAACACCCGATCATCATGCTCATGAACTACAAAAGGATCATGGAAAACGTTTAACTGTCTCCCTATACATTGATTTGGATCCCATTTTGATTTAAATATTCTCATCAAAAGTAATAACTAAGAATTTTGAGTAAGAGAATTTTTGTGAATTTCATCATAGTGAAAAGAAACTCTGGCAACCTAGACAGGAAGCACAGGCTCACTTTTACAGAAGTGAAGGAGATACAATTTAGTACGGTGATTAAGCCTGTGTTTGAAGGTAGGCTTCACTGGTGCCCTCAGCAAGTCATTTAATCTTATTAAACTCAACTCTTATCTGCAAAATCAAAATAATAGCATGAAACAGGTGGGGTTGTAAGGATTAACAAGTGCATATGTAAAATGCTCCATACATATTTGGCCATCCTTACCACTCAGAATGTGTTTCATGCTGTTAATTACAATAAAGGCACTAGTAATATGAGCTGAGAAAATATATCAGGTTATATGCATTTGCCAAACTAATTGAACTGTGCACTTAAGATTTGTGTATTACTGCATACAAACTGTACTTCAACAAAATAACAAGAAAATTGAATATATGTGAAGGTAGCAGAATGGGGGTGGAGAGAGAGGAAATGTACACTACTTGGATCACATTATTACTGGGTCTTACTAACTTGAACAAGGTTAATAGGAATAATCTGTTTGAAAATGTCTTTGCATTATTAGTCTAATTACATGAATACTCACAGTTGGCTCTCAAATATATTTTATGTCATAAAAATCAACTTGTTGGCTGGGCGCGGTGGCTCAAGCCTGTAATCCCAGCACTTTGGGAGGCCGAGGCGGGTGGATCACGAGGTCAAGAGATCGAGACCATCCTGGTCAACATGGTGAAACCCCGTCTCTACTAAAAATACAAAAAATTAGCTGGGCATGGTGGCACGTGCCTGTAATCCCAGCTACTCAGGAGGCTGAGGCAGGAGAATTGCCTGAACCCAGGAGGCGGAGGTTGCGAGATCGCGCCATTGCACTCCAGCCTGGGTAACAAGAGCGAAACTCCGTCTCAAAAAAAAAAAAAAAAAAAAAAAAAATCAACTTGTTAATCTCATTTTTGTTATTATAAATTCTAAAACAGACACAAGGAACAACCTTGTACAATCCACAGTGTAATCAGCATCATTGTGAAAGTCTCTTTATTCATTGCATATATCTAACCATTTTGTAAGCATCCATGGAAATGACATACAAAGATGACTAAAGATTAATAATTTCAAACAAGTCCACAGTAGCCAATAAGAAGCTACTGCACATTAGGCACAACATTAAGCATTTTACAAGTATTTCCTCTTATAATCTACCCAACAATTCTACAGGATTATGGTCTTCAATCTACCATATAAAGGTGAAACTGTCAAATCGTTAGATTAATTGTCCAAGGTCACAGAGTTGCTGATGTCAGAGCACAGAACAGGACCCATCTCAAACTCCACAGGCTATAATTTTTTTTAAAATCCTTTTTAATTTTTAAGTAATTACTTTCCACAGGCCCAAAAGCACAAAAACACCTGCGTGTAACAATTTTCTACCAAAAAGTATAACATACATGTGATCACTGGTCCTTCTCTTTCATGACAATGTCAGGCATCAATCACTTTACATTCTTGCCTTTAATGCTGTTCCTTTTTGCATCCACACTGGGGAGGCAGGAGAGAGGAAGGAGGGGGACAGGAAGAAGGAAGGAAAGAAACCATAGGAAGAAAAAAGAAAAACAGGACAAGAAATATTTACATCATTGTAATCTTTATCCACGAAAAAATGTTCAATTTTATAGGTTCTACCTGTAAGAGATAGGTTCTACCTGTAAGACAAAGCTTGAAGAAGTAAAAGCCTTTTTAAAAACTTATTTTGAAAACTTCTGAGATACAGAAAAGAATAACAGAATACAGTCATCTCTTGATATCCCTGGCAGATTAGTTCCAGGACCCTGTAGATAACAAAATTGAGGGATGCTGGTACCTGATATAAAATGGTACAGTATTTGCACATTCTCCTGTTCACTTTAAATCATCTCCAGATTACTTATAAGACCTGATTCAATGTAAATATTATGTAAATAGTTGGTATAGTCTGTTGTCTAGTGAATAATGATTTTTTTTAAAGTGTGTACTTGTTCAGTTTCAGACTTGTTCAGTTCAATCACTTTTTTTCTTGAATATTTTCCCTCTGAGGTTGGTTGAATTTATGGATGCAGAACCTAGGGGTAAAGACGGCTGACTATACAGAGTTCCTACATTTCCTTCAGTCAGAGGGGCCTTATATTTTAATCTACAAGCTCTACAATGCCCACCAATCTATGAGAGTTGGGGATTTTATATTATTTAACACTAGGGTAAATTTTCCTTTAACAACATAAGCATAGTTACCAGTCTATATTACAAATATTATAGTGGAAAATGTTTGATATGGATAAATGGAAAACCAGTAAGATATAGTTTGATGATTTTTCTAGCCAGTGTTCCTTTTAGCCTACCATATAACACTACTAAATCTTTTCTGCTATAACACGTTTCTGCATAGTTAATCGGCTCATACTCAATTGGTAAACAGTGGGATAGCAAAAGATATACGGACTTACATGAGTTCCTTCCCCCTCCCTGCCACCTGGTTAATGTTTAATCACCAAATCACAGCAGGAGCATATAAAGTATATGAACAGAATTGAACAGACCAGGGCAAAGAGTAATACACAGAGTAATCCATAATGCCCATTTACATCCACAGTATTATTCTTTGTTCTGTTTGACCAAAAAGTCTCTATTGAAAATACCCAAGGTTTGCTTTTTCTGATTTTGATGCATTTTGCATTTGCCACCCTTTCAACTCTTCTTTTCATCTCTTTTGAACAATCCGCCTTCATCTTTTCTTTTTCTATGATTAGGTTTATATTGACTGTATCAGTTATTTATTTATTTATTTGTTGGTACTAACGTATCTTCCTAATCCCACTAGTTTTTTGGCTGGAATTGTTATTTTTTCTCATGGTCATGTTTTTTGTTTGTTTGCTTGTTTTAGGGCACAATTTGCAGAACTTATGTTTTTCAAAAACTCATATATCACATTACAGCAGAAACACCTGTCCAAGACTTTATCTTGTTAACATTAAAATAGAGGAGGCTTTTAGATTAGAGCCCTCTATTCAGTGAAGAGATTATAAAGAACTTACTAAATTTCAAATAATCAGTTTATATATAATTATGATTTAAATATAAATTATAAGTTCATATAACAATTGTAATAAATTATAAAAATTACTATCTGTTATATACATTTTTCAAATGAGATTAAGTTGTATTTCTGGGGTTGACAACTATAAAGTATTTAATCAGTTGTATCAGAATCACATTAAGTTGTTTTTGGTTTAAATCTTATGAGAATGTTTCCTAAATAATTACATCCTCTTTATGGTACAGCTAGTTGGAGTTTTCATCAAAGTGACTTGATAGTCTTCTTAAGAAGAAGCATCTAATAATATAGCTTCCATTATGGAATAAGTGCCCACCTTAACACGTAACAAACATCCATGATAACACTGAAACTTTCAGATAATACGGCAAGTGGAATTCAAGTACAAGGCTTCCTCATGAAACTTTTCTTACATTTCCTGAGTTCTTCTCCCTGCTCAGGGCATAACAAGTAAGATAAAGGATTCTACTCTGGAACCTGTTCAACTTTCTCTGTCACTTTCATATAGTATATATTTATTTGTCATCCTATATTTTAAAAATCCCGCAGTCATGGTTGAAGACTTTTCTCTTTGAGCACAAAGCCCATGTCCATTAGATCTTGAAGCTAAAGTTCAGTACCAGTACCTTTTCTATCCAACATGACAAAGCAAAGCAAACTCTGAAAAAGTGTACATCTTAAAACCTGAAGCCAGGCACTTAATTTTGAATGAATTCCAACAACTGAACATGAACAACTCATTGATAAGAGCCAAAATAAATTCTTAGTATAGATCTCAAAAGACTTTGGCCCATGAGGTAGTAGAGAGAGAATCTGGGGGATTGGCCTAGGGATGTGGAGTATCCAGGTCCATGAGGACATCAGGAATCAGGGCTATCATGTCAGATCTCTGAGAATTGTGTCGGTTTGTTTGTGGGGGTGCTTCTATCACAGTGACCCAGAAAGCTTCTTGAACAAGTTCTAGGGAGGATAATGGTAACAGTAACATAAGAGCCAATCATGTCTTCATCTGTATAAGGGGGCTTGTCCACCTATACAACAATGCCAAAGGATGGCTCTGGCCTTTCAATAATAGCAGTTTTGAGTTTATCACTTTACCACTTCATTTATGCATCCAGGCATCAAATACATGGAGTACTTAATTAGTATCAGGCACTCATCTATCTCCTCCCTCCCTGTTGATAACACAGACAGTGTGGCCAGAACAGCACATGCTTTCCTAACCAGCTCAGAATCAGCTCCCATTTCTCACCATTTCTCACAGTATTCTGTAACCTCTGCTTATTTGTACTAACATGATGAGTACCAAAAAGGGGGAAATACGAATCAAATTCAGTATTATTATAGTCTGATGACAATGAGAATATAAATTATATGACTTATTTTAACATGTGGAATTCCTTTAATGCAGTAACGGAAATTCAACAGACTTCTCTTTTTAATGAAGAGTTAAATGTTGTCCATTTGGCTTCTTTTCTAAGAAATCCAATTAAAAAGTTACCAGGCGCTTTCCTACATTGCTATGGGAGTGTAAATTGGTACAAACTTCTTAAAAAGCAATCTGACAACACACACAGAAAGCTTAAAAGTATTCCTACCATTTGGCCTAATAATTTCAGTTCTAAGAATATTCTGTAAAGAGATCTGCAACCTGAAGTTTTTTATACAAAACTTTTTATGTCATCATTCATTGTAGTAGGGAAAAGCAGAAAACAACACAAATGTATAACGAGAGAAAGTTATGTAATAGCCATAGAAAAAATTGACACATGACCATTAAAATGTTTTTCAAAACTTAATACAGGAAAAAAATGCTTGTGAAACAGACAAACTTTAAAAGCAGCATTCAAAATTAAGTATATTGTTCTATGTAAAATATACAAAATGATGAAGACCCAAAAAACATTAACTACTTATCTTAGGTTAATTAGAAATAATTGTTTCTTTGTATGATTCTACCTTTAAAAACACTGAGCTGTGATCACAAATTAAAGAAATCCAAAATCTGGTATAATGAAAGCATTTTAATTATTTAGCTGTTATGCTAAGTGCCAGGAAGAAAGCTTCAGGCCGGAGCCTAAAGACCTAGATTAACAGAGCATGTGTCAGTGACCACAAGAAGAACAGTCAAGAAAGCAAGAGAGGGAAGAAGAGGATAGCAGAATTCCAAGCAGGCACTGACTGAACACATTTCAGACAGGCAGACTTAGGGCAAATGCGAGTATATAAAAATTCATGCAACGTTCTCTTGTTCACTGTCCGTATGGAAGAATCCTCAAATTGAAAGATTTTAGACAGACACTATGTTTAAATAAATAAATAATGATGTGGAATCAGTTTCTTTATATGAACCGCATTTGTGCTAAGTAACTTATCTGATGAAACACAGTTGTGCTGAATTTAGGACAGATTGCCATCAATGCCATCAAAACATAGGGCTTTTATTTATTTACTGCAAAATTGTTTAAAAGGTTATTTTCTCTAATTATCTTTAATTACCTTTAGCAAACAGTGGATGGAAACCTTTTTCTTAACCCTAAATTTTCTCTTACAGCGCAAAATAGTCCTAAATATTTCAGTGCAGAATGACATGTATTACTTTCCACTCCAATTCTGCCCAGAAGTAGAAAAGTAGCAAATAAATGTCACTTTTTTTCACAGTTGGTCGACTTGAATTGATAAAATGTACTCCATAGGAAAGGGAAGATTTGCTTCATAATTTGTCATGTAAGGAGAAAGTTTGAAGACAAAACTGTACACACACACAAACACAGACACACACATACCCAGAGACACACGCATACATAACAGTCACAAGATACATTATTCCATTAAAAATGTACATACACACAGCATGAGCTTCAAGTCACTCACCTATAAATATGCTTCTCTGACATTACAGTAAAGTCAAATACTTCAAATATTTGGCCCTGAATTTGATTACATGATTATCAATATTTTCATAAACAATATGAAATCTAAGTACAGGGCATATAATGGTATCAAGAAAATATTTTAAAAGCTGTTCTTCAATAAAGTTAAAGGTCATATAAAAACTCTATAAACCTTTTCTTCCTCTATAAAATTGAATTGGGTTAGGATCAAGAAAAATAAAAGGCTTCAGCCACTTGAATATTTGTACTAATGTCACTAATTTACCTTCCTTCTCATTAGAGAGCGGCCTGAAGATAACTTAATCTAGATGACTCGAAATAGTTAAGACTCACTTGCTTCACTTGAATCCAAAATTAGAGGTTAAAAGGTCAAATGTTACTACAGCATTGTGCATAATGGTAAAATACTGAAAATAGTCTGAATCCCCTTATATACCGAAAGGTTTGAATGTATTCTGATATACCTATACATGGGAATACACTGAAGCCATGAAAAGTCGTTTGTGAAGGGGTGTAAGTGTGAATGTGTGGAGACAAAGAGAAGTAAGGCACATCTCTGCGTGTTTGCTGGTCTGTATATGGGCATATAGTCATCCCTTGGTAACTGAGGGGAATTAGCTTTAGGAGCCTCACAGATAAATAGTATGTACACATAAACTATACACATCCTCTCATATACTTTAAATAATCTCCAGATTACTTAAAATACATAATATAATGTAAATGCTCTGTAAGTTATATTTTTATTTATAGTATTTTATTTTATTGTTGCATTGTTATTTTTTCTAATATTTTCTACTCACAATTGGTTGAATCCACAAAGGCAGAACGCACAGATACAGAGGGATGACTGTCCCTATATGTATATGTGCATATACAGAGAGAGAAGGAGGCGATCAAGATACATTGCTAAGTAAAAATCAGAAATAGCTAAAAGGTGCATGTAAAATTAATTCATAAATAAATTAATCTAACAAGCGTTAATGATACTATTAACAATATTTGCTGACAATTTCTATACAGGTGGTACTCACCTACACACTGGGTACATATTAACTCATTTAACCCTCACAACAATCCCATATTATTGGTTCTATTATTCTCCTCTTAAATAAGAAAAATAAAGCACAGAGTTACTAGGAAACAAAGTGCCTTCCTAGCAAACACAGCCAGCAAGTGTTGTTGCTATTTGCTTGTAAGTCTTCATTCTCGCCACAACCACCCCACCCTTGCTCCTCTCTTTCCTCTTCCTCTACCCTAAAGAGCCTGATTTTACAAATTACAACACCTGGATTTTGGAGTCCATGATCTTGTCAGGATTCAGCCCATGAGAGTAACCATCAGTGAGTGCAGAATAACAAAAGAAAAGAGGTTGAGGTGAGAGTATTTTCAGGCACCCCTCCCCGCCCTGCCCCCACCTCTCAAAGCGGCACTGCAATCCAATAGTGGCTGCACAGCTCTACTCATATCCACAGCTCTTGTTCCGTAATCCCTTTCCCACAGGTGCTGCTCTCACTGGGTTTCAGTGAAACCTCCCTCTCCTTAATTGGTCCTAGCAGTAACAGATCTCACTTTTTGGGCACCTAGGCTGCCTCATCATTCCTTGTTGCTTTTCTTAATACTTCTATAAGTAGTCCCCTCTTCAAAGTCTTCAGTGACCTCTGAGTCACCTATTTCCTGCCCAGACTGCTACTCATACAATAGCAGAAACAGGATTCGAACCCAGACACTCTGGCTCCAAAGGCTGTGCTATGCCTCTACTCACTCTGCAATACTGCCTGCCTCCCCACTATGCTGGTCTATTGAAAGACCACTAGGCCAGGTTCAATGATTCACACTTGTAAGCCTAGCACTTTGAGAGGTCAAGGTGGGAGGATCACTTGTGGTAAGGAGTTTGAGACCAGCCTGGCCAATAGGGTGAAATCCCATCTCTACTAAAAACACAAGAATTGGCCGGATGCGGTGGCAAACACCTGTAATCCCAGCTACTCAGGATGCTGAGGCACAAGAATAGCTTCGACATGGGAGATAGAGGTTGCAGTGAGCTGTGATCACACCACTGCACTCCAGCCTGGGAAACACAGCAAGACTCTGACTCAGGAAAAAAAAAAAGAGAGAGAGAAAGACAGGCTGCACTAAATTACCATCGGGGATTTTATCTGGGAAATAAGATTACAACAGGGAATTTAAATATGTATGTTTTATAGTTCTACAATATTTGAATTTTATTATCTATCCAACAAAAATGCACTGATGATGGACTGCACTTACTCCTAACTACTACTTTAAAGAAATTTGATTATACCTGTAGAATAATCTAATTAAGGCAGACAATCCACTTTGTAGTTAAATATTACTTGACAATCTTAACTACAATGTCTTTTCATAAAGTATGAATAATCATTCCCTAACACAGAAATCTAGACAATGTGTGGTAGATTTGTTACCCAGCATGATGCCTACATGACACAGGTGAATTTCTATCCCACCTTAACTCTGCTTATCTTCAGAAATAGGATGCCTGAGGCCAAAATTTCCCCTAGAGATCAAACTGGCCAAGACTTGTGGGATCCAAGGTGACAGCTTACTTGACCTCTGAAGAACCTCTAACTTCATTATATTCTAATTTTCATGCTAAACGATACACCCCACAGCACTATGACAGTTTATAATCACCATGACAACAACCCACTGAAACAATAAAAGGGGGGAAAAAGGCAGCACTCTGGTTTTGAGGAGTTCTCTGCCCATTCCCAGAAAAAAACTTGAATGTTCCTCGCTTATTTTTAATACCCATCCCTTTCATTAGAGACGCCTGTTTCTGTGACTTTCCAGCTCTCTTATCTTCTCAATTCCATGCCACCGAATAAAGCCTGCACTGCTACATGTTCACGTTCGCTTTTGGTATTGGTTTTGTAGCACCGAACAGACAAAGATGCCATTTTGATGGGAAACTGCTTTGTCGGTAACATACTGATGCTCTTGGACTGAAAAGAAAAATTCTTGAATAGGTAAGTATTAAAGGATTGTTTTTGAGTCAGGCTCACTCTGTTTCCCAGGCTGGAATACACTGGGCCTCAAATTCCTGTGCTCAACTGATCCCGCACCTACCCTCCTGAGTAACTAGGAGGACAGTTACATGCCACCATAACGGGCTAATTGTTATTTTTATTTAGTACAGACAGCGTCTCACTAGGTTGCCCAGACTGGTCTCAAACTCCCCAGCCTCAAGTGATCCTAGGCCTCCCAAATAACTGAAATCACAGGTATGAGCCACCACTGGCCTAAAGGATCATTAAATTACTGTTTCTCCTATTTTGATAAAGTACCAAGGTGCTATTAGGATCTAGCTCTTCTGATGGGATGAGAACCAACAAAAGGAAACGTTTAATATTATACTTTTACTATTTAAACAACAGATTTCAACCACCACAGAATTTTATGGTCTTCTTTTGGGACACTACTGATGTTCAATATGGTAAATTTGCTTCAAATTTCATCAAATCTCTAAATTCTGTAAGGTACATTTTATAGGGTACTAGAGTCTAAGTTGCATCTCAGCCTCACGATTGCTAACCTAACCTCAACTGTTGCTCCGCTTGGCCACAGTGCTGAGAAGCCTTGTGCCCTCCTTTCCATGCAGCAAACACAACACGCTCAGGCAACTTCTCCAATATTACAAGTTTCCTCCAGAAATGGCCTTTAGCTAGAAACGGAATTCAATAGGAACGATTTTGCCTCATCACTAGATACTTTGGAATGTATGTGTTTTTTCTAAATACTCAAGGATCACTGCTGTAATTTTCTTGCTAGGTAAATGAAATTTTAATCTCCATTTTTAAACGGCAACCAAGAACTAATAACAGATATGTATTCCTGACACTACATGGCTCAAGTAATGTTTTATATTAGCACTTAACATTAAATTAACCAAATTCATTCAGGGGAAAGAATCATAAAAACTCAATCTTTCTTCAGTTCTTTCAATCTTTCACTTCCTCTCAATGTGAAATATCAAACCCATCAATTATATATGTGGCATTTCCTAAAAGATGAATCTAGCTTACCAGAAAAAAAAATACAAATCCAGAATTCCCCCACCTCTAGGTATAGAAAGCCTCCAGATGTCACTCAAATTCAACTCTCTTACCAAGGATTTACTAATGAATGACTGCCAGCAGTGAATATACTCTGGCCCCAAATCCTTCTGCCTCTATGACGTCAAGACCTCCACAGCCCTGTGCTTCCTGAGCAAACATGTGAGAAAAATTCAGGTCATTCATTATCAGAGCATAAATGCTAACAATCAATGTCTCCCAGCCATAGCTGTTATCCTGACCTAAGACCCATCTGTCATCAACATCTAAATCAGCGAACATTATTTTCAGACTTAATTTTGCTGGAATAAAGCCATTTAGTCTGTAGGTGAGGCAAGAAAGGAGATTAACTACACATTTTAAGTAAATGACGTATCTTATAATCACATATGTAAAACATTTCAGTTAGGCATTAATACATCTAGGCACAAATTATTTCCCTTCCTCTGTAGAGACTGATAGCCATGTACTGACTTTTCATCCTTCCATATATGAAATATACGAAGGACAAAAGGAATAGTTATTTTATCTAATTTTCCTGGTTACAGTAGTTTACTGACACCCAACACTGTTTTTGAAATCAAAATGGTAATAAGACTCTGGTATAAGGAAGCCTGTGTCATTTTTCATGGCTTGCTTCTGCTGTCAGGGCTGCCTGAAAGACTCACTGGCTATGTTGCTCCAACTTTGTAAATCACAACCAGACTCAGTCTTCACAAGGCATGTTCTGTATTAATCTCTAGAAACAACGAAATGTGTCCCTTCTCTTGTCCATGCACGCTAATAAAAATAAAATAGAAAACCCTTAATGAAGGAAAGAAATAATTAAGAGAAAATAACTGCAAGCAAAAATCTATACTTAACTGTAAACTGAAAACATAACATAACCATATTCAGATTTAGAGTGTGTTACTGATATTGGAGTATGGTATTTTGTGAAGTCTTTAATGATTCTCAATTTATTTATTCCAGAAGAATTCTTTGTTTGTTCCTAAAGAACTATTAGTGAAAAGTATTTACTAAAATATAAAATGTCACTTTGAACCTGGACACTTCTGGCATAATGATGTGATTATGCACGTTGCTTTTTTTTTTTTTTTTTTTTTTGTGAGACAGGGACTCACTCTTGCCCAGACTGCAGTATCATGGTGCAATTGCAGCTCACCGCAGCCTCAACCACCCAGGCTTGAGCAATCCCTCTAATTCAGCCTCTCGAGTAGCTGGGACTTCAGGTACAAGCTACCATGTGTACCTGAAGTCTCAAGCCACTCGAGAGGCTGAGGTAATTATTTGTTGTTGTTGTTGTAAAGATGTCTCTCACTATGTTGCCTAGGCTGAGCCTGAACTCCTGAGATCAAGGGATTCTCCAGCATTGGCCTCCCATAGTACTGGGGTTGCCTACTGGTGTAAGCCATTGCACTGGCTGTGAATTGCATTTTGCTTTTCATACTGAAGAAGAGAATTCTTTTACAGCCTTATTCACTTAAAGAGAGATATTTGTCGCATGAAAACCAAAACAAAGATGAATTTTTTAAACGTGAGTGAAGGTCAGCTTAATTTAACAAAGCTCTATAATTAGCAATTAAATGAATCCATAAAAATAAATGTTAAGAATTCCTATTCACCAAAACTGAACAACATTCTCACATGCCTTTTTTCAAATGGTGTGACTGGTATCATCAACTGATTCAAAGAAAGCCTCAAACTCCAGAATCAGGATAGGACTGAATTTGAAAGGGTAAGGGGGGGATTGGGTGGGAATGTTGGTAGAGTGCATGAAAGAGAGAGAGGTTTACTGGGAGGAAGAAAGTAAAAAGGATAATATAGTGTCCCCTCCCAAGAGTAAAGAGCTCAAAGAAAGCATATTTTTATTTAAGTGTTGTGTATTTCATAATGCTCCTGGGTAATGCTATAGGTAGTATCAATGTCAATAGGAAGAAATATGCATTATGCTTTTATTTTCAGTTATATTTGTTTTAGGTGAAAAAGCAAAAAAAAAAAACATAATTGCAATTGCTGAAAATAAATGTCAATATGAGCTGTATTAAAAAATTGAGAGGCCGGGCGCGGTGGCTCAAGCCTGTAATCCCAGCACTTTGGGAGGCCGAGGCGGGTGGATCAGGAGGTCAAGAGATCGAGACCATCCTGGTCAACACGGTGAAACCCTGTCTCTACTAAAAATACAAAACATTAGCTGGGCATGGTGGCGCGTGCCTGTAATCCCAGCTACTCAGGAGGCTGAGGCAGGAGAATTGCCTGAACCCAGGAGGCGGAGGTTGCGGTGAGCCGAGATCGCGCCATTGCACTCCAGCCTGGGTAACAAGAGTGAAACTCCGTCTCAAAAAAAAAAAAAAAAAAAAAAAAATTGAGAAAGACTTCAAAATGGGCCAAAGGAAAAAACAAGATAAATTAGTAGGTGGCCTGACTAGCTCGTGTGTGTCTCTGGCTTTTATTGTCTTTGAGCCATTTTACAACTCTGAAAAAATAGAAACTGACCGCAATCTCATTTACTAACAGAAAAATGATAGAAAGGGAAATGGACTCTGTGCCCAATGGAATCCAATTGATTACTGCCTTGTGGAAATTGACCATTTTTGCGTCATTTTTTTTTTTTTTTAAGAGACCAAGTCTCAGTTTGTCACCCAGGCTGGAGTGCAGTGGTGCAATGTTGGTTCACTGCAACTTCTGCCTCCTGGGTTCAAGCCATTCTTCCACATCAGCTTCCCGAGTAACTGGAATTACAGATGTCTGCCACCACACCTGGCTATTTTTTTTTTTTTTTTGTAGTTTTAGTAGAGACGGGGTTTCACCATGTTGACCAGTCTTGTCTCAAACTCCTGACCTCAAGCGATCTGCCTGCCGCAGCCTCCCAAAGTGTTAGGATTACAGGCATGACTCACTATGCCCTGCCTTCCACATCTTTTTGTGAATTTATTTCAGCACTTCTTTTCTGACTTTAAATGTGTGTGATACTTTAACTTCTCATTTGAATCAGTTGTAATATCTTACTGGTTCCCTCATTAATTAACCAGTTAAAAAGAATCTTTGGCATGCATTCATTATTTATATGTCATAATTTATTTTTTAAATTATTCTTTAGCTCTACACAAAGGCATATGTACACACACTCACAGACACATATACGAATCAAATTTAATATTATATTATGCTTGGATTTTAAGTATTTTTCTTCACATTGTTTTTTAAAATTTGTTCAGTAAGCATGGATTACTTCAATAATTGGAAAAAAAAAGCTTTAAAAAACTATGAAAAAAGTAAAGTAAATCTTTCAAAGTATCTACACTTGTCTCTAGCTCTCAAACATGTGATTTTAATATCTGTGATTAGGCCAAGCATAGTGATTCATGCCTGTAATCCCAACACTTTGGGAGGCCGAGGCAGGCAGATCACTAGAGGCCAGGTGCTGGATACCAGCCTGGCCAACATAGTGAAACCCCATTTCTACTAAAAGTACAAAAATTAGCCAGATATGGTGGCATATGCCTGTATCCCAGCTACCAGGGAGGCTGAGGCATGAGAATCACTTGAACCCTGTAGGCGGGGATTGCAATAGACTGCCATTGCACCACTGCACTCCAGCATGGATGACAGAGCAAGACTCTGTCTCAAAAAAACAAACAAGCAAAAATCTGTGATTAGGTGAACCGCTTAGAAGCAGCTGGTTTCTAAATCACCACAACTATCATATTTTCCTTTTTAAAAACGTGAGGAACATATACATTGGGAAGTAAGAATTGTAAATCTTAATGAATATATCACTCTGATATGGTTTGACTGTGTACCCACTCAAAATCTCATCTTGAACTGTAAACCTTATATTGCCCAAGTGTCAAGAGAGACATCAACTGGATGCAATTAAATCATGAGGAGGGTTTCCCCCATGCCATTCTCATGATAGTGAGTTCTCACAAGATCTGATGGTTTTATAAGTTTTAGACAGTTCCTCCTGCATTCATTCTCCTTCCTACCACCTTGTGAAGAAACTGCCTTCTGCCATGATTGTAAGTTTCCTGAGGCCTCCCCAGCCATGCAGAACTGTGAGCCAATTAAAATTATTTCCTTTAGAAATTACTCACTCTCAGGCAGTCTTTATAGCAGTGTCAAAACAGACTAATATAGGCTCTATCAATATAAATGTCAAGATAATATATTTTTAAAGGTCTATCAGAAATAGGCTAAAATAAGAATTTATACATGTGTTCTAGAAGAACAACTATCCCTTAAATTTTATTTGGAGAAACACTAAAACATTAAACTTCAAGCTGTGTCATCCAAGTATCAGGGAGATAAGGTCCTTAATCTGGTTGGTCAGGCCACAGACTCCTCAGTTGTTCCAGAGAACTCATCTAAATTATTGGATGTAGAGTTTTATCTTCTGCTAATCCAAAGGAAAAAAAAAATCTTTGTACTCCATAGCCTGTCATATTAAAAAAGCACAAATGCATTAAAGATAGTAATAATACTTAAAAGTAAAATTAAGTCTATAAATACAAAAAGGTAAGCAAATGTCAGAAGGTTATAAGGACATTGATTTCATGTAAATGTAGATATGTAAATTCTTTAAATTTGCTTGTTTTTATGTCAATATCACCAGAGAGTTCATTATAAAATCTCAGTCAATTTTCTTACTAAATAAGCCAATATAGTTGAGTGAATAATTCCTTCTTTTGTCTTAGTCTAAGCACTGAGAACAGAAATAAAGTACTCTGAAAACTTATTAAGACTAATCAAAAAAGGATAAAACAAAGTTTCAGAATTTTGATGGGTTGAATTGTGTCCTCCCCCCACACACAAAAAAAATTCAGTCCTAATCCCCAGTGCTATTAAGCATGACCTTATTTGAAAATAGGGTCATTGCTGATGATCAAGTTGGAGTCATTAGGCCAGGTTCCATTCCAATATGTCTATATCTTTATAAAAAAGAAATATGGACTCAGAGACAGACATATAAAAAGAAGGCACGGGAAGAATGCCATTACAAGCCAACAAATGCTTGAATCCCCAAAAGCTAGAGGAGAGGCACAGAATAGATCTTCCCTCACAGCCCACAGAAAGAACCAACCTGCTGACACCCTAATCTTTGACTTCCAGCCTCTGGAAATTGAGACAATGCATTCCTATTGTTTAAGTGGTACAGTTCGTGCTACTCTGTGACAACAGCTCCAGTAAGCTAATATAAAAATTGGCATTTCATTGTCTAATTTCAAATGCTACTTTTGATCTCAAAAAAATATGCTGAAACTTTGCTATTCTCTAAACACATTAATAATGAATGAACAAGATATTTCTCAAGAGTCATTTTTTCCTCCAAACTCACCACCCATCAACACGCAAACACACACCAGAAAAAAGGAGCAAAAATAAATATTTGAAAAGGATATAGTAATTTTTTAAACACAAATTATAATTGGCCCTTCTAGTCATCCATATATCAATGACCACTGTTAGCGATGTTCCCTTAACATCAGTTATTTCACACTTTACAGCCATACTTTCAAATTTTGAGGACATTTCAAAGTATATGTTTTATCTTAAGTATAAAAATCAAATGAGATAAGGTAATAAAGAACAAAAGGTAAAAGACAAAGCAGGATTAAACAAAATTCAAGTGAAAAATTGCTGAAATGTTGATTAAACCTAACAGAGCTCATTAGCCATTAATAGATAGTAGCGTTAAAGTAAAAAAGAATAAGCACATTGTGTTATACAGATTAACCCCTTTCCTTCAGAAATCAGAGATAAGCCAAAAATCACATTTTCCCTTATACAAAGAGATTACAAATAATACAAAAAGATACGTTGATCTCAGAGAACGCTGATTGTACCTGTTTATTATAAGTGGGCTTTATTTAATAAGCAATAATTAAAATATTAAAGAAAAACCTTATATAAAAATTAAAACAGACTACCCTATTACTGAATTACATACTATACCTCTACCATTAATCATAACATCCTTTTAAGAGATAAAAATCTCAAGGAAATTACAGTAACTATTTGTTTAATTCAGAAGGACTACCTTGGGAAGGGAAGAAACAAATTCATATGTGTTACAGAATTCTGACTGCATGACCTACTATACAAAGAAATTAAGTTCCTCAGTAACAGCTAAAAATTTTGTAATATATATACAAGGAGATTTTTGAAAATATTCCAGAAAGAAGGTATAATTTAAAGAAAAAACAACAAAAACAAAAACAAAAAATTGTTCACTAAGCTGAGTTAGTTGGGTACAGGAGGAGTGAAGGAACCAGCAGGCTAGGAGATTCCATGCAGCCTGCTCACACATGCAGAGTCCTACAGACAAATCTTACATGAGGAAAATTAAAAGCATTACACATTTTTTAAATCAAATTTTAAATGTCTATACATCTATACTCAAAGATGTTGAGATTAGAACAAATATATAAGCCATCATTAATATTTACCTTTTCCTCCAAATTTTTCCTTGAATTTAAAAAAGATGGAATTTGAAGCTATGTAGCAAGATGATTTCTCCATAGCAATTAAACTAGAAAGCAGATTTCTAAGCATTACAGTAGAAACAGAGTAATATAAGGAGATAGGGAAGTGACATATGTTTTACAATTTAATAAAATGTATCAAAGATAAAAGTATCTCTCTTTATTAAAAAGTCAAAGTTCTAATTCAAGCAACATATACTTGATACTGGGTTATTCTCAAAGCAGAGAGCATTTTAAATGAAAGAGTGTGATTTTTTTTTCATATTTTCAAGTCACTTGTCAGAATTCGTTATAGCTTATAGTCTTTTAAAGGTTTTGAGATGACTGATGTGTAGTCATCAAAGCTCTTTGGAATTGTTGTCTGAAAAAAGGATGTCTAGGAAAAGCAGTGCTATAAAAAGAGGAACTATCACTTTTATGTTTTAAAAAATCAAGCAGAGCTTTTATTTGCCTAATTCCTACTTCACATTGCACTTTGCACTTTCTAGGGAAAAAGTCTTTCCACAGAAACATGTAACATTGCTTTTGAAAGACTAGAAGCAACCAACTAAAAATTAAGAAATTGTTGCAAATTAAATCTGTAGTACAACTGCATCCGGCCGGGCGCGGTGGCTCAAGCCTGTAATCCCAGCACTTTGGGAGGCCGAGGCGGGTGGATCACGAGGTCAAGAGATCGAGACCATCCTGGTCAACATGGTGAAACCCCGTCTCTACTAAAAATACAAAAATTAGCTGGGCATGGTGGTGCGTGCCTGTAATCCCAGCTACTCAGGAGGCTGAGGCAGGAGAATTGCCTGAACCCAGTAGGCGGAGGTTGCGGTGAGCCGAGATCACGCCATTGCACCCCAGCCTGGGTAACATGAGTGAAACTCCGTCTCAAAAAAAAAAAAAAAAAAAAAAAAAAAAAAAGAGCAGCTGTTGGATAAATAAAAGTACATTCTCTGCATCAAACTACAAAACATTAAAAAACATAGTGACATTTGATTAAATGATTATTTATTAAAGGCAGTTCCATATGGCTTTTACACAGATTCTTTCACATAAACACCAGCTTCTCTTTTTACGTTAGAAGTTGAGAAGTGCTTATCTCTAAAACAGTCAGACATACTTAGTTCCAATTTTGTCCTTTGAGAAAAAAAATTTATTTTAATGTGTTTTATATCTTGGCCAGATTGATTATGTATAGCTGGGCTTTAATGTTTTG